TAGCTCAGCAGCAAAAGCGCCTGCCTGGCAAGCGCAAGGTCGTGAGTTCGGTTCCCCGTACCGGAGAAAAACCAAAAAAAAAAAAAAAAAAAAAAAATTGAAATGTTTATTACCAAATATGTAGACATTAAAATATTTTAAAACTAAATCTGTAGTATTTTTCAATTTGATTTCAAACATAAATCACCTTAGGATTTAAGAATGAGCTTTGATTTTACATTTGTGATTAATGAGGTGATTGCTTATGTCATTAACATTTTATAGGCCCGCACTTTGCTGAATATTTGAGCTGGGAAGTGACTGATGAATGTAATGTGCTGTTGAAATGCAAGGTAAGAGGTGGATGAATTTTTAATATTCGATGCGAGGAAAATAAAGATAAGACAGAGCAAGAGGAAGATCAGTTTTTTCATGTCCTGCATTTGAGCCAAGATGATAAGCAATACATCCTTGCTGTTGACTATGACAGTACCATTCGTTTATAAAAAACATTTAAGCTAAAACAACATAAAAATGTAGAAAGGCAAAGTGATTGCTCCTATTTATTACCCATGACCTAGTTAATAAAGATACGCGTTCTTTTTAAATTATAGGTTGAGTATTCCTTATCCAAAGTGCTTTGGAGCAGAAGTACTTTGAGCTTTAGTTTTTTTCTCTTGGAATATTTGCATATGTGTAACGGGGTAGGTTGGGGATGTGACACAGATTGAATATGAAATTCATTTGTTTCAAGTACACATAGCCTGAAGGTAATTTTATGCAATTTTTTAAATATTGTATAACAAAACTTCACAATGTGGAGTTTCCCACTTGGGATATCAAGTCAGCACTCAGAAAATTTCAGACTGGGAGAATTTTGGAATTCAGAGTTTGGGGTTGGGGATGCCCACCCTATATTAATATCAGAAGACTCTCACAATGTTTAGGGCATAGAGACAAGTCTGCATCTAAGCGGTAGATCTATTCCACACTCACTGGCCTCCGTGTTTGGTGGTGAGCTTCCTGTGTAAAACAACACAGTGACAACAGTGGCGCACACCTGCAGTCCCGGCTGCTTGAGAAACAGAGGTTGGAGGTCAGCGAGCCCAGGACTGAGAGGCCCACTCAGGCAGCATAGTCAGACCCTGTCTTAAAATCTTTTTGTTTGTTTCCATTTTTTAAAAAATTGTGGAGAAAAACTGTAGCCTACCGTTGCAGTGTGAAGTCACGATGGCCAACAGTAACTCCAAAGCAGAATTATGGGACTGGCATTTAGCATGTGGTTGTCATCCTGAGAGCCAAAACCCAAGTGCCCCAGTTTCTAGTATGTCTGATAAAGTCGAAGGAACAAGTTTACCAGAAACCCCATAAGAAAAACTATTTCTAGGTTTCAGCCTCTCCAAAAATTGCAACGCTTCTTGAAAACCCTTCTCCCAGGAGGCAGCTAAAGCCCCCAGCCTCTGTGTCCCCTGGCTACCCAGCACCTTGCTGCCTGTTTACTTTCTTATGGGCACAGCCCGTCCCTGCTTTCCTCTCCTCCTGTGCCCTGCTGCCCATGTTCTGATGGCTTCCTAGTGCTGAATAACCAGAGGGAGCCCACATGCATTGTGTTGGCCACTTTCCTCATCACTGAGACACAATACCTGACACCCACAAATTGAAGGAAGAGAGGTTTATTTAGGCTCATTTTTTAGATGTTTCCGTCTATGGTCAGCTGGCTCCAAGGCAAGGTGATGGCATGGCAGAGGGGCATCACAGAGAAGAAACAGTCCATGGCAGGACAGGCAGGAAGCAGAGAGTGATCAAGGGAGGAGGAGGGAGATAAATGCATGCTACACCCCCAGTGATCACCTCCTCCAGCCAGGCTTCACCTGTCATGTAACATTCAGTAAATGAATCCACTGATTAGTATCATGTCCTCATGGTCCGATCACCTGCCCAAAGCCCCTTCTGGGCACACATGAGTCTTTAGGGGGACTTGTAGATGTTAAACCACAGCACATAGGTTATGGATACTTGGAGGTATGGATTTGTGCTGCTCGTCGAAGGCCTAGGATGGCCTTTGTTTGGCTTCTCTGCCAAAATAGTCTGAATGGAAGGACCCTTCTTCTGTTCCCTTGTACCTTTCTGTTACATTACTATGGCAATTTGCATAAATATACCATCACTATTGCATCAAAGTTCGTGGTGCTTGTGCAGTAAGCATTCAGATTAAGGGGGCTATCAAGGGTTGCTTGGCATTAGTCGACTCTGAAGAACTGAGGAACAGCCTGGGCCACCTGCTGCCCTGCAGGGGTCCATGTAACAGCTGTTCCCCTGCCACTCTCAGATGACCACTCCACACTGGGCAGGTGCGGGAGGCACAAGGCTTTCAGATGTCTCATGGCCCCAAACAGCCAGCACCTCTTGTGACAACTCTCTGCCTGAGCTTCCGGGATTCCCACAAGGGAAGTATTCCAAGTCACAAGGAGCAGGGTGCTCAAGCCCTGAGCGTTTCTTGCCCCAGCCCAGTCTGCAGCCAGGGGCACTTCATTTTGAGACACAATCTCATTACGTAGTCTACACTGGCCTCGCACTTACCGCTTAGCCCAGGCTGGCCTGAGACTTATGGGCCTCCTCCTCCCTCTGCCCCGAAAGAGCTGGGACTGCAGGTGTACGCCACCTCACCCAGCTCAGGGGCATTTTGCCAGAAGCAAAGTCACCAAGAAACCCAGTTACTACCTCCAATTCCAGAGCCAGCTTCCAGGGTCAAGAGGAACATTGTGTGCTGGTTTCCCTGTGGTCATACTTATTTTCATGTAAGTGTGCATATTAGTGTGTATACATCTATTCTGTTCTTGTCTACCCAATAATTCGTGTTTTTTTGAGATTGGGATCTCACTGTGTTTTTGTCAACTGGTCTAGAACTTCTGGGCTCGAGTGATTCTCTTGCCTTAGCCTCCTAAGTGCCGGGACTATGGATGTATGCCACTGCTTGCCTAGTGATTCCAAAGTCAATTTTTATGGCCAGAAATAGATGCTCTTGATTTTCATTTGTGCATTGGTACCCACTTTATTCTAAATCCCTTTCTCAATTAAAATAGTTTTCAACTGCTTCCCTTAGAAAGCTGTGTCTTCTGACTCCAAGTTCAGTACTTTTTGCTACATTAAAAACTGCTTAGTTTCCTGGGCCTGATGGTGCAGGCCTGTCATCCCAAGTACTCTGGGAGGCTGAGGCGGGAGGATAGCCAGTCTGAGCCAAGCCTGAGCAACTTGAGACCCTGTCTCAAAACTTTAAAACATTTTTTTAAAGAAAAAGTCTGTGGGTGTAGCTCAGTGTAAAGGCCCTAGCTTCAATCCTCAATATGGAAAATAAAAGAACCCTACTTATTTTCATAAGAGTAGTGTTCCCTTAATTCAAAAAGAGTAAGTATGTTCTTCTTCTAGGTGGCAAATATTAAGAAGGAAACGAACATCGTGTGGTACAAAGACGAGAGGGAGATATCAGTGGACGAGAAACATGACTTCAAGGACGGCATATGCACCCTGCTCATAACAGAGGTAGGTGACTGGGAGTGCGGAAGGCAGTGTGTGAGGTCCACTCCCTTCACGCTCCTCCAAAGCGGGAACCAGATTCCACACCCCCATGTCCCAGAGAGTTACAGTAGCTACAGGCACGAAAGCTTCCCTCACTTCGTGACATGTGTGGATCTCTCAGATGTCTCACCAGTACCAAGTGGACTCCAGTGCTTGTTTTCTGAGATACTTTTCTCGTCTGCAAGCAGTTAAGTGGGCCCTTCTTTGTACTTAAGCCTTACGCTAACTTGTCTGCCAGTATAAAGACAGTCAGATACAGTATTCATTGGAGTATATACTTTTATCTACTTTTAGAGCACAGCTTTCCAATACATGAGACCATTTTCTGTTTAATAAGTGAAGGCCTCATCTCAATTATAGCCATACAGGGTAAGAAATCATAATTACCAGCTGGGAAAATGGCTATGGGCGATGAACGAATGAACTGTTTACCGTGGCTAGACACCTTTTCGGGCTGCTTCGATGGCAGTTCATAGGTCAAGGGCTTTAAAGAATGCCAGCTCAGGGGCTGGGGATTTAGCTCAGAGGCACAGTGCCTGCCTGGCAAGCGCAAGGTCGTGAGTTTGATTCCCAGTACCGGAAAAAAAAAAAAGAATTCGAGCGCCATGCCTGGAGCTACACTGAGCTACAGTGAGGTATATCTGTTCTTCCCTTAGTTTTCCAAGAAAGATGCTGGGTTTTATGAAGTCATCCTGAAAGACGACCGCGGAAAAGATAAAAGCAGGTTGAAACTTGTGGATGAAGGTCAGTTCCCGGGCGCTGTGTTTTCTAACACAGGTTACCAGGGTTATGATAGAGGCTGGACTGACAAATTAAAAACATGCTGATTTTCCATCCACAGATTCTAGTTAATTGAAATTCCAACAGAGTGAACTATTGGTTTTTTTCCCAAAGTACTTCACTTTTGGTTTTCCTAGAAGTTGAAAGTATACTTTTGATCCTCAGAGAATTTATAATTTACAGGTTACTAAGGGGTCTGTTTTCAATTTAAATCATCATTTTTGTTTCAAGTCTATAAAAATGTTCCAGGATCAAAAAAATACTTCAGTGAAGAGCATATTGAAAAATAGCCCAGGGTTAAAGGGTAGCCAGAAAGATTTATATGTGATATTTAAGCCTTCCAGTTATTTGCAAAGCAGGAAAGGGATTTCCATTTTTCAGAGATTGTTTAGGACAAATATATCAAGAGAACAAAAGCCTCCTTGTGGGGGCTGGGGATTTAGCTCAGCGGCAAAAGCGCCTGCCTGGCAAGCGCAAGGTCGTGATTTCAGTTCCCAGTACCGGAGAAAAACAAAACAAACAAACAAACAAAAAAAAAGCCTCCTTGTGACCCCAAAACTCTCGATTTTATTTCTGAACAAGATCTGTTAAGAATATTACTAACAAAGGGGCTGGGGATTTAGCTCAGTGGCAAAAGCGCCTGCCTGGCAAGCACAAGGTCGTGAGTTCGGTTCCTGGTACCGGAGAAAAACCAAAAAAAAAAAAAAAAAGGAATATTACTAACAAACAGCAGAATCTGTCTTGGATTTCACCTTCCTACCCTTGGTGAAGCCATGGCTAAATATTCAATTTCAAAAGCCACTATTGGGCCAAGGAGGACCAGGCAGCATAGATGGCTAATTCATTATGAATTGATGACACAGAGAAGAAAACATCCTGTCATGTGAGCTACGGCTTCCTGGGAGTGAAGACAAGAACTCTAAAGCCAAGACCCTTCCTGGAACTCTCACAGTAGAATGTAAATATGGTATTAGTCACAAAGAATCGGGAGGAAAAATATCACAGAACATCAAAATAGGCCAAGATCTTTGATAAAAATTTGAGTTATTTCCTCCTAGAGCACTAGTTAGCAATCAGTCAACAAATGTTCCCTTCACTGGACAAGAAGTTTTAAAGAGCAGTTTGAGTTGTGGGCAGACCCTCAGCATTTCCTGCTAACATCTTGGCTTTGAACCTTTCTCTTTAGCCTTCCAAGAACTGATGACTGAAGTGTGCAGGAAGATCGGTAAGCTGACATTTTCTCACACACAGGGCTTCATTGTCCTCCTGCCAGGACAGACAGACACACAGGGGCATCAGACATGCTGTTCTCTTTTTTCAGCTTTGTCTGCCACGGACCTGAAAATCCAGAGCACCGCCGAGGGCATCCGGCTGTACTCTTTTGTCACTTACTACGTGGACGGTTTGAAAGTTAACTGGTCCCACAAGTAAGTAAATAGAAACTCACTTGCCATGTAGAAATGCTTTCTCCACTGGGGACAGTAAAGGGAAACAAAACACAGAAAGAAAGACAGAGAAGGGGAGGGAGGGGAAAGACGGAAGGAAGGAAGGAAGGAAGGAAGGAAGGAAGGAAGGAAGGAAGGAAGGAAAGAAAAGAAAGAAAGAAAGAAAGAAAGAAGGAAGGAAGGAAGGAAGGAAGAAAGGAAGGAAGGAAGGAAGGAAGGAAGAAAGAAAGAAAGAAAGAAAGAAAGAAAGAAAGAAAGAAAGAAAGAAAGAAAAGAAAGGAAGGAAAGAAAAGAAAGAAAGAAGGAAGGAAGGAAGGAAGAGAAGGAGGGAGGGAAGAATGAGCTCCTCTCAGGCCAGGACTCTTAATTCTCAGTATGACTTGAGGATCACAGGTCAAAAACCCCCAGGCCGTTCCCTGGTATCCCCCGCCACCGCCTGTGCTCTAAGATGTGTCCCAGGTCACAAGCATCTTAGCAGGGAGCCTCCGCCCCCAACACACGAGAGCCTGGGCCTGCTTGGCTTTGCCAGGCGCCCCGAGCCGCGTTCTCTACACCCAGCTCAACATGCCATGGTCTAAAACAAAACTTCGGCGCTGAGCGCCAGGGGCCTCCCATTTCCTGTTAGATGAGTGATGGCCATTCCGCGCAGCAGCCCCCACCAGGTTACCTCTGTTGTTTAGAGCAGCTGGCACAGCTGCATTAGGAGGCTTCTTGTGCACACTCAGCAGGCTCTCCAGGCAACGGTAGGGATGTGTGTTGGAACGGGGTTGAGTCTGAAAATCTGTCCCGGGCTGCCTGGGTGGAGTGGTGGAGGAACGGCATTCAAGCTGAGGCAAAATGGTTTCTAAATCAAACCAGTCCTGCCCTTCCTCATCCTGATGGCTCCCCTAACTTCCGGAGTGCCTTGAGGTATCCTCGGGTGAAAGCACGCAGAGGCCTGGTAGAGCTCATCTTCTGGGGGAGCCACATGGAGTCTAGTCCTGCCAAGTGTGCTTGAGAGCCGCTGAAGTGGGGCTCCGAAGTGGGCCTGCAGCAGCCCCAGGGCGCAGGACAGGGATTACTCCTGTCGGACCTTCAGTGGCATTGCGGGATGCGGGGCATTGCTCTGAGCCCTTAGGCACCTGGTTAGCTCATCTTCCTAACCCGAGGCAGGGCACTGCCTGACGAAAAGGCCCAGGGTCCCACCGAGGTCACACGGCCAAGAGACAGGGTGAGGGCCGTGCCAGGCAGCCTCGCTCCGGAACCTGCTCCTCATGGCATTCCCTACCCGTGTGCAGGTTCACTAAGGGTCTAGGATGGCCAGGAGGGCGGGCTGGGAGAAGTGGGCCCAGGGGTGCTATGTTACAGCTGGCAGGAGTGAGACATTCTGAGGCGCCGTTTGCACGGTAGGTGACCAGCAGTAATGATAATACATGATACAGTTCAAAAAGTGACAAGAACGGATACTGGAAGGTTTCACCATAAAGAAATGATGGATGTTTCAGAAGGTAGATACGTTTAACCTGACTTAAAAAATATATACATGTACCAAAATACCACATCACGCCACTAATGTGTACAGTTTTATGTTTTTATGTATCAGTTAAAAATAAATTTAATGAAAAGTCTCAGCCAGGGGTGTAGCTCAGTGGTGGAGAGCTTTTCTAGCATGCGTGAGGCCATGGGGTCAGTCCCCAGCACCGCCAGCACAGACAAAGGTCTAGGTAAAGCAGGGAGCGCGAGCCAGCTCCAACAAAGTGATCATTTGGGTTTTCTTTCAAACAGCTTTAACTTATGGAGGAAAGTTTACCATTACTCTGGCTATTAATCATTTCCTGAACTCTATAAATCCAGTGAAGAACACAAATCTGGTTTATTTCTTCTTTTTCTTCAGAATACATTTTAGGAAAGTAATTATTTATAAGTTAAAATAAATCAACTTCTAGGAAATTCCTCTGTGACATCTAGGACATTCTAATATATCAGTCTGCAGAATGAAAGAAGTAAAATTAGTTGAACCCTCAGTCAAGAAGCTTTACGTCTTCTCTAAAGGAATTATTTGATCTGAAAATGAGGTATTGAAAATGGGTTTTGAAATGTTGCTGTCAGATTAGCGAAGAATAAACTTCTTCCACTACTCGTCTCATCTGTCTATCATGGTGGCATTTCCAGACAGCGGATCACAATCCCAGGGCTGCTTTTCCTTTTATTCCCTTACAGAGCGTGCAGGGGTCTGTTTGTGACCTGCTGCAGAACACTGAGAAACTCACACCAGTGACGCCGCACGGGCCTCGCTCACACTGGCAGCCACTCTGCCTTGCCTTTCTCTCTTGGCTCCACCACCCACTACATGTTTACTTAGGTTTTAAATAGCTTGGGAACAGCCCATGTCAACAGACATCAGCCACACATGCCGCTCTGTAAGCGTGCTGTAGACTAAGTTATAAAATCTGGCTCACAGCCATAGATCATTTGCATGAAGTGTGCAGCAAGAGCATGTAGCCTGGCCATTTAGCTGTAAAGATGCCTTTACTCCCACAAGAACACAAGGAAAAACCAAGCTAGTTCAAAGGGCTGAGCCGCCTTGGAGCAATTCGCCCTGGGCTGTTATGAGAGTTAAGTGAATGTTTAGCGCTCGGAACTCTCTTGGAATCCAAAGCTGTGTCTCAGGGCCTGTCATTTCTCTCAAGCAGAATAACAGCAGATGTGGATCTGAGATTTTTTTTTTTGAAGCCTAGAAAAGTTTACTGTGGAACCTTTGATAAGAGACAGAGGACCGCTCCGCTCTGTGAGGCAGATACTAACCGCTTTCTTTGATTTTAACAGTGGGACTGCTATCAAATACACAGACAGGGTGAAGAGTGGGGTCACTGGGGAGCAGATCTGGCTACAAATCAACGAGCCCACTCCCAATGACAAGGGGAAATACATAATGGAGCTCTTTGACGGCAAAACTGGACACCAGAAGATGGTGGACCTTTCTGGACAAGGTAAACATCTGCTGTGGATTCAAGCTTGCTATGGAAAAGTGGATCTTTTTAGTTTTTTTCTTTAAGAAGCATGAGGGGTTTACTAGGTAGAAACTTAAAAGTATACATGCAAAGAAATAGAGTGCAGGCCCTTGAGAGAGAGAGGTACGCTACAGTTTAGAGCAGGGAGTATTGTGTGGTTGTGGCGGTGGAAATCTGTGGAATTTGTGAATCTGTAGAAAATTCCATCTCAGTCTTGGTTTATAGGAGAAAGGGTGGATCACTTCCAGAAAGATAGTGGCCCATTTTACAGGTGAAAGGCATGAGCTCCGCCATTTTGCTTTTGTTTTGGTTTGGTTTTTTTTGAATGGGTAATCAAAGATGTTTTGTCTAAAAATATTTTTTGAACTCTCTCAATTTGTTCCTTTATCATAAAATCAAGTTTCTGCCCTTTACTTCACCCACTGCACTAATTTATGAAGTTCAGGGACTTGGGATGTTATGAGTCCGCAAGTATAAACACACCTAAGGGTGGTGACATGGATAGCCTTAGGTAACTTCGGCAGTGTCCTGGAGTTGCAGGCTTCTTAAAAGTATAATTTTTAGTTATCATTTCCTTTCCTCCTTTGTACCTATCTGTACTGTTTTCTATCTTACCTCACCCCCACCCTGAGACATTCTCCCCAAGACTTTGACCCCTTCTTCTTAAGGCGTCCAGGAGGGCTGAGGACCGAGGTATTGATGCTACCTGCTAGAGATGCAAGTCTCACCCTGGCTGATGCACAGGAGACAAAGAAAGATGGGTTTTATTTTGTGAACTGATGAACCACCATCTTTTGATAGTCTGGAAAAGATTGCAAGAACATTAGCAAGTCATTGACACTTAAGCTTCATTTTATAACCATGACTAAAAATTAAAAGTAGAACATTGATGAATAGTAGCTCAAAAAGTTGTAGAAATCAGATGAAATTGGGCAGCATTTGGCCTAGGGCTTTTATCTTTAATATTAACCCAGGTACAACCAGCGGAGTTGAGGAGCACATGGACTCTTCCTTGTTTTGTTAAAGAAGTCTAATGTTCTCTTATTTTAATTCTAACAGTGGCAAAGAAATACACTAACTAAAGAGTTCTACATTTTTATGGCCATTGTGCCATTAATTTTTTTTTTTACTCTAGGACTCAGAACTTGGATCTGATCCCTGTTCTGTAGACATGAAGACCTATTGTAGTGGCTGGCGCCAGATAATATAAACATATAAGGTGTGAAGTAGATAACAGAAAGTTAGTTTATACCACAAAGATGACTGCACGTAGGAGCTAGAGTATTTATGCTGTCATCCTTATTCTATAGGCACAGCAATACAGAAAGCCAACCCTTCGGTGAGGGGTCCTTGAGAGTACATTAAAATAACATGATGGGACTCTACAGCACTGGGATGTGGGAGGACACATTTCTGAAGAATTAGTGGGACCGAGAGTCACAACTTCTATGGCTATGTCATAGGTACGGCTAGAGACTGCCAGCCGCGGCTGCTGTCATGGTAGAGCCCCTTTGGCCTAAGGCTTTTATCTTTAATATCTATGTTTATATCTAGCCTAGTTTTTTGTTATGTATTACCATCACTTTAAATTTTTTTTTTTGGTCTCCTTTTGGGTGTTTAAGTCACAGCAAGACCTGTGTTCATCAAAATTTTGTCTGTGTGCATGTGTGTGTGCGTGTGTGTGTGCGCGCGCGCGCGTGTGTGTGTGTGTGTGTGTGTGTGTGTGTATGTGTGTGTATCAAGATCAGTGAAGGCTCTTCAGGAGTTCCTTTTAGGTCCATGTGAGGAGCCTCTTAGTTCCTCTAGTTTTTCTTAGAGAATCGGCCTTTTAAAAAGAACCAGAAGTGAAAACAGGCCATCGTGCTGGTAATGTCAAGGAACAAAATGTCAGCCAATGAGGCTTAAGAACCCACCCGGCCTCCTCAGCGATTCACGCAGGGGCCGCATCCGGTGACTGAACAGGAAAGCTCTCTCCCGGGGTGTGACGGAGGAGTGGCTGGCGTGGGCAGGACCTAGGAAACGCCACCGTGCTGAGGAAGACCTCCCTGAGCCCCTCTCCTTTGCAGGTCAAACCACAGGAGCTTTCCTGACACACTGGCTCAGGTCCACTGGCCCCCTCACCCCGGCTGCTGGGAGCCCCACTTCAGGGAACCTGGCCTGTTTTCATGCTCCCGTTGATGCCATGGCACCCGGCAGAGCGAAGCCATCCTGCTTCTGCCTGGTTGTGTGGTCCTAGGTAGGAGCTCAGGCTCTTACAAAGAGAATACATAGGCCCAGCGACGTGAAGCCGGACTGCACCGAGTTCCCCGCCTGTGTGTGGGAAAGGGGAGTGAGTGTTATCTTAGTGTTGTCTGCGTCTCCTCCAGACTTCCAGTACCCTGCTCCTAGAGCACAGAGGAGCTGAAAGCCGGACGAGAAGCCTTTCAGAACGCAGCTGCTTTTTTGCCCAAAGTCTTCCATCAGAAGCCTTACTCTGCAGGCACAAGAAAAACTTAAAACTGCTTTTGAGCGCTGTGGTGCTCAATCCCTCATCTCACTGCTGTTCATCTCAGCTCCCCCAGGTCGAGTGTCAGGAGTGCCCTTGCTGCACTCAGTAGCTGGAGTTCATAGCACCCTTGTGTCCAGAGACAGTGGATACAACACAGACGCCCTTAGCTGTCTAGCTAGGAACCTGTGACACTGGATATAATTCAAATAAGGAAGCTTTTATGCCAGGGCATGGTGTAATCCCAGCACTCGGAGGCTGAGGCAGGAGGATCTTTGCGAGTTCAAGACCAGCCTGGGCTACAAAATGAGCTCAAGGCCAGCCTGAATTGCGTAGTGAGACCCTGTCTCAAAAAGACAAAAAAAAAAAAAAAAAAAAAAAAAGGAAGCTTTTTTGGCATTCAGGATGATTAATAGACAACCAACTTTATTTGAAACAGACTTATCTTGAGTGGAGCTAATCCCTGTCTTTTTACTTAAAAGCGTTCAGCTGAGAACTTCTAAAAGCTGCTATCCCACGTTTTCTGCCTAGAAAGGCAGAGTGTGTTAGAGTGAACGTGTTACTCAGAGTCGGCAGGGTTAGGTCTGACCCATCGCAGCAACCTTGCCCTGTGACATTTGCTCAGACCCTGTGCGTGGTCATGCAGGTCAGCTCGGGGCGAGCAGATCCTAACTTTGCTTTTTTCTCTTAAAGCGTACGATGAGGCCTACGCTGAATTCCAGAGGCTAAAGTAAGTCCCCCGTCCTGGCAAAAGCCACTGCGTGCGGTAACCTCCCGGGGCCCTGGGGGCTGAGTGCTAGAAAGAGTCTTTGTCCAGCGAGTGCAGAGAGCGCGGCGCTCGCCTCGGCCGCCGTAGTGCGCAGCGGAGGTCCAGGGCAGACACGCAGCCCGGGTCAGCTGCTGCCGAGTGAGCTCAACAACGTCTTCTTTGTTTCTGTGTTTGTTTGTGTCTCTCCCACAGACAAGCCGCCATCGCGGAGAAAAGTAAGTAGGGCGGAAACGCACTGTCCTTGTGCTCCTGCGACTGCGGGCCGGGCCGCGGGGTGGCGTTTGGCTTCCCCTCCCTCCCTCCCCTTCAGACCCTCGTTGTCCCACATGTGTTTTCACTTCAGCCTGGCGGTAAGCATGTCCAGGGAGAGAAGCCTCGGGTTACACCGTGAGAATGTCACCCGGCTCCGGGTCACCCTGAGAAATCTCCTGACTGCAAATCACAGGACAGATTGTTAGTCACTACCTTAGGCACAATGTAGCAGGAAAAAAATTACAGTGAAAGAAAAGAAACATTGTGAGCCCACATCGGGTAAATCACTGCAGGCTGGCCCCAGCGAGGACTGGCGGCTCTGAGCGCGGCGTGTGAATGGGCCCTTTATGCTCCCTGCCTCGACGCAGCCACGCGGCCCGGCAAGCCGCCAGCATGTGCTCCAAGCGTGCTCCCCGCTGCCGCTGACTGCTTCCCTCGGAGAGATTCTTAGAGCCCCGGCAGCCTGCGCACCCCAGGGGCCTTGGGCTAAGCCAGTGCATGGGTTTGTTTTCTCAAGGGCGGGTGGGACTGGAACTCTGCGTATAGTTCTCAAGTGCAGGCCAAGCTGGACTGGAAGGGGGGCCGGGGAAGCAGCGAGTGGGGTGTTGTCACCCTTCACTGCCCCCTCCACCTCAGGTTTTCCCGGGACTCTGAGCCTCCAAGCTCTGCTTCCCCGCCCCCCGCCCCTCTCCTCCCCTCCCCGGCTCAGGGCTGGTGTCTGTGAGGCACTTAGCAGTCAGGGCAGTGCCAAGCTGGCTGGGGAACGGGTTGGGGGCTTCTAGGAGCACTGCGCCAGCCCCCGCCACCAGCAGGGTCCCACCGCTCTGCTGGGAGCCCGGCCCTCCAGGCCACGCACTCCTAGAGCTGGAAGGGGCGCAGGCTCCTCTGGCTCTGAGACTTTACTCCTCCACAGCTGTGGAACGTTCACTCTGAACACACAATCACTCGCACCGCTCCCCCGCTGCGGGGGAGGAATCCAAGGAAGCCGGGAGCAGCCCTGCTAACTCAGTGACCAGGATGTCATGCAAACCCGCATCCCTACTCCACACCCAGCAGGCTGTGGAAGTGTCACGTGGCAGGTCACGTGGGGAGCCACGGGTATAGTGGCATTAGCAGGAAAAAGCAGTCTGGTGTCGGCTCAAGCTTCAGCCCGACTTCGCGGAGCAGGGAGTTATAAAAATGAGGATCAGGAGTCACAGAGCAACTGAAGTTGGCCCAGAAGTTGTGAGCCTGGCAGCCACTGTGTCGCAGCCAGAGAGGAGGCTTAGCGTGCGTTACAGAAAGGCCCCTTCCCCGAGGGCTCAGGCACGGGGATCGGCCAAGGGCCCCATCTTAGATTCCTTACCCCGCCCGGCCCTGGCCCCCTTGCTTGCAGCCTTGACGCTCAAGCAGGACAGCGGGCTGCACACAGCTGCCAGGTGCCCCAAGGAGACCAGAGAAGGAAGCTCCAGGGAAGGCCTTGAGGGAAGCCATGCTTGCACAGGCCCCCGACCCCCACCCGGCACACAGCCCTCCCCTCCCTGGGTCCCTCCTGGGGACCTTCAGGCTCCCGCCTGGCCCAGAACGTTCTCTCCGCTCCTTGGCTCAGCCCCACTCAGCTACAGCAGGGCCGGGGCTCAAAGTGGCCGTGAGAGCCGCAGAGCAGGTCTGTACGCAACAGCGCCGTCCCCAGCTGGCCTTTCGGGTACGACTGGCAGCACCTGCACCTGCAATGTGCGGATGAAGGAGGGTTAAAGCCCACAACCCCCGGGTCCTTTTGCATATCTAAAAAAGCTGGTATGAGTACATGTGTGGACACATAATTACATGTTTCACGGGAAGTTGGTCCACGAGCACCACACATCTTAAATCTTCTTCTGTCCCCTCCCCCACCCCTCCAGGCTCCCTCCAGCTCTTGTTCGCCATCCCATTTACAAAAGCTCTGTTTCCATTTTTTATCCAAATCTCTTTTTTAGAAGATCCCTTTTCTCTTCCTTCGCACACCTCTGCCTCCATCTCGTTACCCTCCCCCTGGGAAAAGCTTTTCCCACTTCCCGGTATCGATCATTTGTTTTGCACTTGATTTATGCCCTGTGTGTTGAACCCGGTATGAGCTACCTGTCGGGAGAGGGAAAGCCAAGTTGGGAGTTTGCCCCGGGCATCCGATGAGTGGGGGGGCATCACCACGCGGTGACTGACCGGAAGTGTCTGTGCTTGCAGATCGCGCCCGGGTGCTGGGCGGGCTCCCTGACGTGGTCACCATCCAGGAGGGCAAGGTGAGTGCGAGGGAGGGGCCCCACCCAGTCACATCCCTTCTGTTGAAATGACGTATGCCACCATCTCTCTCTTACTTCCGGCTGCTTTCGCTTGACCAGGATAGCTAAACGCAGGTGGCTTTCCAGCCCTCTCAGTGCTCAGTCGGCCAAGCATCAGCAAGTTTCCCCGCTGGGGACAGGGGGGGCCTCTTGTTGTCTCCCCCACAGCCCCCTCCAAAAGTCACGGGACACTGGAAATGTCCCATCGTTGCTCTGTGAAAACAAGACAGGGCTCTAGCGCACAGCAGGGTGTGGACAGACCCTGCCTATGGGTGCTCGGCTCTGCAGGCTCCTCTTGGGTCGGAGACGCACCTCTCTCTGACTGCTCTTTAAACTGCCATCGCCTGGCTGCATAATAATCTCTCTGAGAGCCAGAAGCGTGGTTTCTTAAGTCTCAGTAAAATGAGTTTAGCTCAGCAGTGCTGGGGTGGAGAGAGCCGCGGTGGAGCAAAAGCCCTTTCCCTCCAGCGCCAGGGCCCTCAAGGGCCTGGGACTGGGGAGCCGGGCCAGGCTGGGAAGGCACCCGGGCCAGCTCCTCCTGTGGAAACGCGGGGCGAAGGGCTGCTGTTGTTCTTCAGCTCCTTCCACTTTCCTCCCCTCACTCTGGGTTCGTGGTGAGGATGAGGAGAGGGAGCACGGGAGCCCCTTAAACTCCAGAAGGCAAACCTAAAATGTGGAAGAGCGGTTTTCACAAGGCTTAACGTGCTTGCGAGGTTTTTGCTTACTTTAGTTCAGTTTTAGCCCCCAACTAATCAAAATTCCCCAAATTGGGGCTGGGGATTTAGCTCAGCAGCATAGTGCTTGCCTGGCAAGCGCAAGGTCGTGAGTTCGATTCCTGGTACCAGAAAAAAGCCAAAAAAAAAAAAAAATTCCCCAAATCGCATGCCCAGTCTGCTCGGAGGCATTTAAAGGTAATGACTTGCCTTGTGGTTTTCTTTCTGAAATGCATTCGTGGAAGAATTCAGTGAGAAATGCTCACGACGGCGAGTGAAAGCAGAGTTCTGAATCCACCCAGTGTCTCCCTGCTGACCTTGTACCTGGCGGTCAGGGAGACCCAGAGACAGACACTTAGGCGGACGTCCCTTTCTCTGCCTGCTGGAAGCTCTCGATCTTTCCTTATTATTTCTGGGTTTTGGAAACCAATTCAAGAACAGAACTTAAAATGTGAAGTAAGCTCAGGGTCATTTCCAGCCAGGGAAGGGAGGGGCCCCAGTGAAATGTCATGACAGCTGTGAGAAACGCTGTCACAGAAAATGGCCCACAACACACCCTGCAGGACAGATGCCGGCCACGATGTGGGAAGCTGAGTCACCCGTACCTTGTCGGTGGAAATGTAAGCCCAAATGATAGCGCCCCTTAGGAAAGCAGCTTGGCAATTTCTGGGGAAAAGCAGAATCATGCATTCGCCAGACAGCACAGCGCCTGCACCCCGGCCATTTCTCCCAGAGAGAGGAGAAACCTGTACACCTCGCGTAAAAACCTGTAGGGGAACCTTCACGGCAGTGTGCAGAGAGGCCCCAGGCTGGAAACCGTGCAGGGCGTGAGCCTTAGGGGCACGGCAGGGCCCCGCTCGTCCTCAGCAGTGAAATCCAGCGGGCTGGGACAGAGCAGCTGCTGGGGGAACCTGCACGGCGTTAGGCCGAGTGAGAAGCCCCACCCCAAAAGTCACACACCCTGGGGTCCATTTCCATCACCTCTTCAAGAGGACGCACCTCAAGACGGGAAACAGAACTAGGGGTTGCTGGGTTAGGAAGAAGGTCGTCAGGGGGTTGGAGGGGCGGGATCGATGGGCCCGGCTGTAAAGGGGCCGCACACAGCTGTGTCTCCACCGTGGGCGGGAGCCGGAACCCGCACCAGGGAGGGTGAAGCAGAACCGAACCGCACACAACGGAGCCCCAGTGCGGACAGCGTGGAGGAAACCAGCGTGGGGACACCGGGGCTGTGCGGCAGTTCTGTAAAATGCCACCTCTCAGGGAGATGCGGGGGCGTTCACAGGGTCTCTATAACTGTTTACAAGGGGGTGCGAATCTAGAATCGTCTAAATTTTTTTCAATTAAAAAATACAAGTAAAACTGTAGCCTGCGTAGGAGGCCGCGGGCACAGGTGGGGTGATTATTTAGGACGAGCTTCAGTAGAGACCTCGGCTGCCCCGCACGCATGGGTTAGGGAAACTGGACCCTGACAATTGGTGACAGTCAGTGACGCTGTTGGAGCAGCTGTTCCAGGGATCCGGGACGCAGAGGTGCGGACGGGACACGGAGGCTGCCCCTCCCAGGGCCGCCCCTCTGCGCAGAGCCCGCTGGGCGTGGAGGGGACAGTGGGGCAGCGCTGGGGTGACCCCCCGGGCCGCAGAGCCCACGGCCCCCGGTGGCTCTGACCCGCGCCCGAGTGTCCCTTCCGCTCCACCTCCCCGCCGATCGGCGGAGCTGGCTGGGTCTGACGCGTCCCTCCCTCCCCGTGTCCTGCAGGCCCTCAACCTCACCTGCACCGTGTGGGGCGACCCGACGCCCGAGGTCTCCTGGCTGAAGAACGAGCGGCCGCTGGCCTCCAACGAGCACTGCAGCCTGCGCTTCGAGGCGGGCAAGACGGCCTACCTGAGCATCTCGGGCGTGAGCACGGCCGACTCGGGCAAGTACGGGCTCGTGGTGAAGAACAAGTACGGCACGGAGACCAGCGACTTCACGGTCAGCGTGTTCATCCCCGAGGAGGAGGCGCGGGCGGCCGCGGCCGAGGCCCAGAAAGGCGCCCCAAAGTCCAAGTGAGCGTCGACCTGCGAGGGGGCGGGGCCAAGAGGAGCCGAGACGACCTGCTGCCTGTCTGAGCGTGCGTGTGCGTGTGTGTGAATGCTGTGCGGTAAGGATAGGAAAGTACAGCCGGCTGTGGTGGTGCACACCTGTGTGTGCTCAGGAGGCTGAGGCAGGAAGATATCAGAGTTCAAGGCCAGACTGGCTGGGCTACCTAGTGAGGCCTTGTCTCATTTTTTTTAAAAAAATGGTAAAGAGTCTTCTGACTTCTCTTCCCATTGAGTGCTGGCCTGGGAGAAAAAGTCGTCAAATCTTTTATTCCTATATTTTAAGAAAGTACCAACTAGTAACACTTTGTTCTTTACCTGCAAATTGCACGTTGAGAAAATACCACTGGTGTCACAAATGACAGGAAAGGGCTTCCAGAAAAAAGCCAGAGTTGTGTGGAGAAAAGTGTGTGATGGTCAGAGATTGGAGGTCACGGTGTGGATTGCGACTCTGCCCCAGGTTCTAGAAGACGGCACTGAGCCGGAGGCCGCGTGCGCGCGTGTGTGTGTGTGTGTGCACGCGCACACATGCATTTCAGGACTCTCATGCATACGTCTCTATCGGCAGCCCGGGCCAGGCCTCCTCACTCAAATAAACCGTGCCCGCCTCCCTCCCGTGTCTCTCTTTGTCCTGGCACTTTAGTCGGCGGCCTTGGGCAGCCGCAGCAGGGCACTGCTGGGACCATTTCCCCACTCACAGCCCCACCGGTGAAGCAGGACTGGAGCACAGCCGTGGGGGCTGAGCAGGCACCGTGCCATCACCGCCCTGGCCTTCACCTGGGGGCCAAGGTCATAAGGACACAGGCTGAGGTCACCAGGCCGCTGACTGTGGGGGACGAGGGTGCGGGGCCAGCTAGACTCACGCATGCTGATGCCCTCCTCTGAGATGGACCCCGATGGCCGGCATCTCTGCAGGAGGCCGTCCCAGACCCCCAGGACCCCCAGGTAAAGGGCTCTGGTGAGGAGCCCCTCCTGCCCCACCAGGACGGTCGCCTCTGCTCCCAGCTGCCACGGCCGAGCACAGAGACAGGAGCTGGCCATGAAAGAAGCCGGCCTCCTGTCACTCCGGAGGCCGCTATGCCCACGCTCCAGGCTTGGCCCCTGGCTGCACTGTCACGGGGGCAGGGGGCAGGAGAGCAAAGTCACAGAGGGGCACTCACACCCTTCCATCTGGAACCTTTCCCAGGGGACCGAGCCACTCCTGCCAGGCTGCACCGCAGGTCTCCTCCTGAGATGCAGCCTAGTGAGCGCCCTAATCACCTCCTAAGGGCCAGCAGCCCTGGAGATGGAGGCTGAGGCAGGAGGATCGCTGAGAGTTCGAGTCCAGGCTGGACTGCATAGTGAGACCCCGTCTCAAATAAATAAATACACACATACATACATACGTGCATACGTACGTACATACATACAACACGTGAACTCAGGGACACATTCGAACATAGTAGGGCCAGAGCGAGAGGCCTCCTAGTCCAGGAGCCAGATGGGGGCTCCTGAGCACCTTCTCCTTTCCAGAGTTCAGGGCCACCAGTTGCCCCCCATGGACTGACCCAGCTGAGAGTCCAAGGCGGCCACAGCCATAGTCTTTAGGGCCCCAACAGGTGCAGATGCTGCCCCTGCCCTTGTCCCCGCAGTGGTGGTTCAGATGGAATCCGAGGTGTCCCCGAGCGTGTGCGTCAGAAGCTCGGTGTTGGAGTGGGGCCTCCAGGGTGGGGCCTGGAAGGAGGGAGGTGTCCCCGTGGGTCGCCTGTGGGCCCTGAAACGGGGAGCTGCCCCGTCCTGATGCTCGCTGGACGCCTGTCCAGCCAGGTGGGCATCCCTCCCCCACACCCACACCACCTGCCAGGCCCGGCCGACCGGCGGGCAGGCCACTTCTGGACAGGTGACCCAGGAGGAAGTCCCACAGAGAGCACGCTGCCAGGAAGCTGAGCATCAAGGGTCCCAGTGCAGGTCTCCCAGGGTGTGAGGCCCTGACTCCTCACAGACCCCGCCCTGCATCCCAAGTCTGCCCGCCGCAGCGCCTCAGTGTGGGAGGAGGGGCATGTGGGAGCAGAGCTGGGCATCGACCAAAAGCAAAGGACCTAGGGCCATGTGAGGCCGAGCTGCACCCGGTGCTCCGAACTCAGAACCGTGTGAGACTCAGGAAGTCAGTGCGCAGTCACCAGGGCCTAGCCAGCCACAGCGACAGTAAGAGAAGTGACAGTCGTACTCAGAGCTCTGCAAGCTGAGATTCGGTTTCTCAGGCCCCCGGCTCGGAGGGTTGTTTCAGCCAATGAAATCATCTATGTCACAGTTTGGTAGCTTAGGTACAAGCTGCTGTTTCTAAACAAGAAAACGTAACAGGAGCTGGGTCCTGGCGACTGACTGCCCCAAGGATGGGGGCGTGCCTCTGGGACCCGCCAAGTGTGAGCGCTTGACTCAGAGAAGCAAGCGACACCCAGGAGAGACCTTCCAGACTTGTTGCTAGAATTCGTAGACAGCGGGGGACAAGCTGCAACACTTGCCTATGTCCTTCAAGTTTAGCTTCATAATTTTATTTTTTACCCCAAAATAGATCCATGGGAAAAAACAATTTTAAAGCTACCTTTCCTATCCCTAAATTGCCTTTAATTTGTCAAATTGTGTCCATTAGTATATTCCCTTTCAATTCTACTTACTCCTGCTGTCTGACCTTAAAACTTCCCAAGAACTTAACTAAGTGGAATTCCCTTAAACAAGTAAAATCCCCTCCTAAGCGTGTAAGTACGCAGAGCTGGGTGTTCTCTTACACGTTCTCAGAGTGTATGCCAGCTGTCACCAGCAGGTCACAGTCACACAGTCTGAGTTCGGATCCCACGCTGAGCTGTTACGGACCATGTTGTCTGCTATACTGCAGATGTGTGGGCTCCGCACACACCAGTGCCCTGCTGCCCAGCGGTGAGCCACGGTCCGGCCCGCTTCCGATGCCCGTGCCGGCGTGGGCGATGCGAGCGGCTGCCCAAGCCCCCAGCGCAGAGCCGAGCTGAGCACAGGGAGGCCTCGCAAAAACCAAAAGGGGGAAGGTAAAAATACAGCTGGCTGTGTTTTACAGCTCACCACCCAATTGGAGTGGTTCTGGGGAGAAAACAAAATAGGGGATTCTTCAAGTCAGAGCCGCGTGCGTGTGGGGTCTACATGCACATCACAGAAAAATCAGCATCTGGGCCCAGAGAAGCAAATGCAGAGCTGTACCACCAGGGGCTTCTGTGTCCACAACAAAGGAGTACTCTTGTGGAAATCACTCTCCCGCCGTAAGTACCGGGACACCAGAGCAACGGCTGTGCCCCGGCCGCAGACGGGCGAGGCCAGGGCTGGGCGGGCAGCGGGCAGCAGGCCCAGGGTCTCCTTGCTGGCCGAGGGCTGGGCTGTGTGATCCATGCGGGAGCCGCTGGCCCGGGGATGCGGTGCAGTCTGGTTCCCCGGCCGCGTGCGGGGGCTGCGCCTTCCCCAGGGCCGGTACCTAAGTAAGAAGGCGGGAGAGAGCAGGCTGTGGCCGGCCCGAGGGGCTGAGGCAGGGGGGTGCCCGGGACAAACAAGCCGAGAGAGAAAGAAGGCAGGAAACCACAGCTGGCTGAGATCCCAGCGTCGGGCAGAGGCAAGGCGCTGGTGGCCGGGAGTGCACGGTGTGCTCCAAACTGCATGAGAAGGCAGCCTCCTCTTTCTTCCAGTCCTGCAGGGACAAATGCTTCCCCAACTCGGGCGTGGCCAGGCCAGTCCCTGCCTTCTCCCTGGGCTTCTGCCGCTGCCGGGAGCGGAAAATCACAGCAGCTTCACCTCCTGCACCCCGAGCTCCGGAAGCCGTGACCCGGACCAGGTGAACCCCGGGTGAAGCCGGGTTTTTCCATGTGTGGCAGGAGCAGCCGCTGGGGCAGGAGGCAGGAGGGAGACGCACGGTTTAACTGCGCTGTTTCTCACGACGGTGTCCCCGGGCGCTCGGTCTTGGGGTCGCTGCTTGGTCGCCGCTTCCCCAGGCTCCACCAGTCGCTGACCTTCCGCAGAGCTGTCAGCGTGAAGACAAGGACAGTTGTCGCTCTCAAAGCCAGGGCACCCAAGACGTAGGAAAGCTGTAAGGAAAACCATAGCAAGAGGTCATGGTGGGAGAGTCATAGGAACATCTTATACGTACTTTGAGATACAGCCATGCGAAAATCTCCTTCACCTGTAACATACACCTTTGGATCACCAGGCGGAACCAAAACAATGGAAAGGTTTCTCGCCCAAAGGCTGAAAGTTTCCAGTAAATGTTCAGACCTTTGCTGATAAGTAATTTAAAGAAAAACAAGCCAGGAGACTAGAAATTAAAAAGAAAAAGCCACATAATAGCTGAAACATTTATTGCAGTGGCATGAATAGAAATCATCATATATTGTTGTACGGTTTGAGTAGGATGTAGAGGTATATTATTTACTTTGTAGAGATGTTATAGAGAGATTTAAGTAAATTGCATTGTGGGTACAGAGCAACAAACAAGATGAAAATTAGGGGATTTGAACTGTGAAAACACCGGAGAAAGACCCTGACGTGGTGAGACATCTGGAACCGCTCCTCCTTTCTGTGACAGCCACGGTCACAGAAGTACAGCACGTCCCTTGTCAACACAGGAAGTGTGCTACAAAGACAGGATTCAGACAAGAGTCAAACCCAGGCAACTCCCTTTAAGTGAAATGGGGAAAGTTCAGAATGTGTTTATTTCTATAAACTTTAAAGTATGTGTAGAAGCCAGGCATGGTGGTGCACATCCGTAATTCCAGCACTCGGGAGGCTGAGGCAGGAGGATCACTGTGAGTTTGAGGCCTGCTTGGGCTACAAAGTGAGTTCAAGGCCAGCCTAAACTGCATAGCAAAACCCTGTCTCAAAAAGGCAAAAAAATAAAATAAAATAAAGACTAAAAAAGGGCTGGAATGTAGCACAGTGCATTCAAACCTCAGTACTGGCGGCGGGGGAATGCACACAGAGATCAGGCAAATCACTGGAAAGCGCGCTCTACCCCCGGTCACCGGCTGAGGACTAGATAGTGGCCCCTGGGTCGGGCAGCCCCGTGCTGCAGTCTGCAGGGGCAGGGCTCTGGGTGGAGTACACGGAGCAGGGTGCTCACCTGAGGGGACACAGGAGCTCCACAGAGCAGATGAGGTCTCGCAGCAGAGGATGACAGACCAGGGATCGGGGACCCCACCACTCCCCGCTGAGGTTAATGAGGTGACCGCCACGACACAGAGCTACAGCCATCCGTGGTGGTAAAAGTCACTCTGAAGGCGCAGCGCAGCAGCATGGAGGATATCACAGCACTGTGTGGCCTCCCCACCTTCCTCCTCTGCCCACCTGGACTCTGAACCCTGAACAGGGCTCTCCGAGCCACCGCACAGTTGCTGGGAATCGCCCTGGCTTCCTGTCTCACTGTGCAGCCCAGGCTGGCCTTGTCCTCACCGAGATCCTCCTGCCTCAGCCTCCCGAGTACTGGGATCATGGGTACACCACCATGTCCGGCTCCTTTTGTCTATTATGACTGTACTGCTGTAAAATCAGCGTACGACTGAAAAAAACGTTGACAAAAAACTATGCAGTATTTATCTCTGGGATTTTCCGTTTGGTATTTTTGGGT